TGCTTCTCCTGCAGTGTTAGCAGTGTCTGGGATGGGACACAGGCTCCTCATGTCCATGTGAAAGCCATGGTCACCTCTGCAGCCAGTTGACCTAACACTGAGCTGGGCAGAGGCTGGGACCTTGAGTCGTTCCCCAAAATGAGGACAGAAGATCTAGTGTCACTGTGCTTTGAGAGGAAGGACGGACTGTCCTGGCTGCAGAGGGGGAGCCAGACAGCTGACAGCTCATTTGGTCTTCAACCACACAGAGCTTTTATGCCCCACACTGGAATCCTATTTTGCCAGGAACTGCCTGGGAGGGAAGGATTGTCTGATTCATGGTCCCGCTCCCCAAACACTGCTGCTGTCCTGCAACTCTTTCCCTCAGAGACTGTTGGTAGCAAAAGGAAGGACATTGCAAGGGAGGTGGAAATGCTCTCCCTGTTGAGAACTGCTGCTGCAAGAACTTTCTCTTTTGCATTTCACCTTGGGCTGTTCCTCTCCATAAACCTCTCCCTCTCTTCCAGCCAGACCTTCCATGTCTGTAACCACTGCACAGTGGTGCTTGCTGGTGGTGTGGTGGTGTGGTGGTGTGTGGTGTGTGGTGGTGTGTGACAGCAGAGATGAATTCTCTACCTGTGACTGAATTCTCTCTTGGCCGTTCCTCCACATCCCCTGAACACTTCTGGGCACATTTCTCCCCCATACCCTCTTCACCCGGCCAAAACTCAGAAGAATTGGCTTTGGGCTGCTGAGAGGCTCCAATAGGCAGGCTCTCACTCTTCTGATTCAATTCCCAAGAGGTTTTATCCAGTCCCTGAGATATGGAAGTGGGAATCCTATTATTTCTAGGTGCTACAGCCACCTAGATGTCCCAGGCTGGGTTGCACATCTAGAGAGACAGCAGAGAGGAGAGGAGGCCAAGAAAGGGGGGAAATTTCTCCTCAAACCAAGCAGTATAAGGAGAAAACTGAAAACAGAAGCAGAGGCCACCAGCCTGAGGAGTGACTACCAATGACTGTCAGAGTGAGCTGGGATAGAGGAAGAGAGAAGGACAGAGCAAGTCCATGTCCATGGGAAGCTGTGGGTGTACAGCTGAGGACTGCAACACTTGGAGTACCTTGGACCTTCCTGAAAAAAAGAATTGCAAAAGAGCACACCACGGTGGCCCAAGCTGGTGTCCCCTGCCTGCAAGGGACTTCTTCAGCACTTGAGTTCTGTCCTCAGCACTATTGTGTTCATACCTGGAGGTCCTTGGGCCTCTCATTCCAGCATTTGACAGGAGCGTCTCTGGGACAAAGGGCATTTCAGAAATGAGGAAATGAAAAGGAGGAAATAAAGGAAACCAAATTACAAGCTGTGTGATTAGAAAGGGTATTGGCCATTTAAGATGAGTCTGTTGGGAAATTACTACCTGCGCAGAGACAGCCTCGGGGGCTGGGGTGGTGCAGGAGAGTATAAAAGTAAACCCCAAAGCTTTGCTCGCTCATTCGCTTCTCTCGTCTTGCTCTCCTTGGAACCAGGTGAGTCTGCAGCCCTTTCTGCTTTTCATTCTTCCCTGGGCTGAGGTCTCACACCAATGGATACCTCAGCCAATGCCTGCTCCATCATGCCACAGCAGGACTTGGAGGTCTTTGTACTAGAAGTAGGAAGGAGGGAGAAGGTCTACCTTGGAGAGAGTCCGGGTCTTAGCTGAGGTGTCTCGTAAGCTATGAGCTGAGGGGTGGCCTTCCTAGGCTTGGTCATTTGGGATGGGGCACTTTTGGGCTGAGGGGGACAGAGAAGTCTGTGGGTCTCCCTGCAGAAACTCCATCTCTCCATCCAGCATTTGCCTTGGGGGGCTAGTTGTGGGGTGACAGGGTACTCCTCACCCATCTCTCCTGGTATACTTCCCCCCGCTCTCTCTCCCAGGTCCATCTCCAGCTCCAAGACATGTCTTGCTACAGCCCCTGCCGGCCCTGCCAGCCCTTGCTCTCTCTCCCAGGTGCATCTCCAGCTCCAAGACATGTCCTGCTACAGCCCCTGCCGGCCCTGCCAGCCCTGCGGCCCGACCCCGCTGGCCAACAGCTGCAATGAGCCCTGTGTCAGGCAGTGCCAGGACTCCACCGTCGTCATCGAACCCCCTGCTGTGGTGGTGACCCTGCCCGGACCCATCCTCAGCTCCTTCCCACAGAACACCGCCGTGGGATCCTCCACCTCCGCTGCCGTTGGCAGCATCCTCAGCTCTGAGGGAGTGCCCATCAGCTCCGGGGGCTTTGGCCTCTCTGGCTTGGGCAGCCGCTTCTGCGGCACCAGGTGCCTCCCCTGCTAAAGCTGATGGAGATGGTCCTGGGGAAGGTCCCCAGGAACCCAGAGGATGGTGGTACTGGGCAGGAGACAGAGCATTGTGTTGTTGCTTTCAGAGTGTCTGAGCAACCCCAGCACCCCTTGCAGAAGGACTGGTCCAGCCTGGGCTCTCAGAAAGCACGGCCCATGCCTGCCTTTCCCCTCTTCCACTCTCCTTTCCCTCCCATGTCCTTGCTCTCTTGTGCTGCCCTGGGCTGTGAGCCCCACAAAGCCAGCCTGGGGAGGACCTGCTGGCCCTGCTCCCTCTCTGGGACAGGCCGATGGACACCTGGTGGGATCTCTGCCACAGCCCTGGGACACAGACTCTCATCCAACCCTGGTGCTTCCTGCGCTGGGGCCCTCACTCAGATCAACCTCATTTCCCTCTTGACTCAATAAAGTTCTGTTGCATCCCAACCCATGCCTCTGTGTCTTCCTTCCTCTGCAGGTGCTCTCCCAAGATGCCCAGGGAGAGGGGATGTTCTGGGACGGGTGTTGTTTGGGATGTTTGTGCAGTGACTGTTAAAACATTAAATATATGTATTTAAATATTTATATTTATAAATATATTTATATAAATATATTAGATATATCAAATATATATAAATACACTAAAAATGATGATTTTTAACTGAAAGACTTTGGCTAGTCTTTCCAAAACAGCCTTTCTTGAAGAATGCCTGGTCATCACTCTGCTGGTAATTGGTGGTGTGTGATTGCCTTTGTATCACTTCTATTTTTCTCTTTTTTCCTTCCCCTCTTAGACTGTCCTGATCTCAGACCCAGATTGTTTCACTCTCTTGCTCTTCCAATGCTCTCCCCATCTCACTGGGAGAGCAGATCAGGAGAAGAGCTGGTGGGTGCTTAGTGCTTGCCAGAGTCAATACACCATACAGACCCACATGTCCTTGCTCTGCTCCTTCCCTTTCTGTGCCCAGGGCTTCCTGGGAATGTTTCTGGGGAGAGGGAGGTAGGGAGAGACTCAGAGCAGGAGGAGAGGTAGCAGGAGTGGACTGAGTGTCTCAAAAGGCTGTCCAGAGGCTCTTCAAAGCAAAGGCTGCAGAGAGACTTGTGACTGAGGAAGGGGAGCTGCTGAACTGCTGCAGCACAGAGGTGGGCAAGGTGAGATATACCCACTCAGAGTCCTGAATGCCAGCTGGCTTGGTAGCAACCAGCGCTGTCTCCCCACAAATCCTTCAGCCCCTGATAAGCAGCAGCCCAAAAGCAGGGCCAAGAAAAGGTACTTTTGTGCTTTAGTAACCCCATCAAAACTCCTGTGACTCAGCACTGCTCCCGGACACCAGGGACTGTCCTGGCCAATATGAGCAGGACCTGAGCTAGGAGTTATACTGTAGTGACTATCTCACTCTGCTCAGCACTCAGGTGAGGGAATCAGAACACTACTTTAATACAATAATGATATAATACGAGAAAGACCTTCACTGAGTGCATTGAGCTCAGCAGAAAGTGTCCAGGATGGTGAGGAGCTGGAACACTTCCTTGGGAAAGAGGAGCTGAGGTCACAGAACTTGCTGAGTGTGAGAAGAAGGCTTTGGTGCAAGACCTAAAAGCAGCTTTGGAGTAGCTGTGGACAGATCTAGGCTCAACACTCTGGCAGTGCGTGCTTGAAGGACTCGAGTCAATGAGCTCATGTTGAAAGATGAGAGTTGAGCATTCCATAAAAGGAAAATGATTTTAACCAAACGGAGAGTCCAACAGTGGAATAGATTGCCCGGGAAGGTTGTGCAGTTACTCTGCTTGGATGGTCATGGCATCTCAAGTCTAAGCTTGGAGAAAGGAGTTGGGCCTGAAGACCTCTGGAGGTCTTTTCCAACTTATGCTATGGTTGCAGGACCAATTCTTTGTGCCTCTTGCCACTGGGGATGGGGTCAGCAATGAGGAGAAAGGGCTCAGGTCCTTGGATGGAGAGACAAGCAGTGTGCAAGAGCTCTCCTGAGCGCTCTGTGGAAGGAAATAAAAGATTGCAAAAAGCATCTCTGCATGAGCTAGAAGACCACAAGACTTGTGGACCCCAGCTGTTGGGACAATGCTTTCCCAAAGTTGACAAGCAGAATGTTCCCTCACTGTTCTCATGCTTTTATTTACCACCTAGTCTTCTCCTCAGCCTGCAATTCTAAACCTCAACGCTTTTATTTAGGACAGGCTCTCCAAGGATTTCCTGTGAAGGTATTGCGTCTGCCTTGTCAGTAACACATTCATCCCTCCTCCTCCTCACTACTTGCTTCACAATTGTGAGCTTACCAAGGAAAAAGAAAAGCTGTACACAAAAAAGTGATTGTAGTGACTGACCTATACAGGGTAATTCCATCCCGATACACACCACATCGGCAGAGGACTTCAGCAACAAGAGGGTACACCAATTCACGACTAAGCACACTCAATGTAAACCTGCGTTGACATTCACTGCACAACTGTCCCTAATACCAGCCTCCCAGAACCAACCCAGGGCAACATTTCTCTCCCTGGGCACCTTGGGAGAGCATCTGCAGAGGAAGGAGGACACAGAGGCATGGGCTGGGATGCAACAGAACTTTATTGAGTCAAGAGGGAAATGAGGTTGCTCTGAGTGGAGGCCCCAGCACAGGAAGCACCAGGGTTGGATGAGAGTCTGTGTCCCAGGGCTGTGGCAGAGATCCCACCAGGTGTCCATCGGCCTGTCCCCGAGAGGGAGCAGGGCCAGCAGGTCCTCCCCAGGCTGGCGTTGTGGGGTTCACAGCCCAGGGCAGCACAAGAGAGCAAGGACACGGGAGGGAAAGGAGAGAGTGGAAGAGGGGAAAGGCAGGCATGGGCCGTGCTTTCTGAGAGCCCAGGCTGGACCCGTCCCTCTGCAAGGGGTGCTGGGGTTGCTCAGGGCCTCTGAAAGCAACAGCACAATGCTCTGTCCCCAGTCCGGTACCACCATCTTGTGGGTCCCTGGGGACCTTCCCCAGGACCATCTCCATCAGCTTTAGCAGGGGAGGCACCTGGTGCCGCAGAAGCGGCTGCCCAAGCCAGAGAGGCCAAAGCCCCCGGAGCTGATGGGCACTCCCTCAGAGCTGAGGATGCTGCCAACGGCAGCGGAGGTGGAGGATCCCACGGCGGTGTTCTGTGGGAAGGAGCTGAGGATGGGTCCGGGCAGGGTCACCACCACGGGGGAGGGCTGGATGACGACGGTGGAGTCCTGGCACTGCCTGACACAGGGCTCATTGCAGCTGTTGGCCAGCGGGGTCGGGCCGCAGGGCTGGCAGGGCCGGCAGGGGCTGTAGCAGGACATGTCTTGTGGCTGGAGGTGCACCTGGGAGAGAGAGGGCAGAGCGAAGCAGAGACTCAGGGGTGGGTGAGGAACAGCTTTTCACTCCCTCAGAAGGGAGCCAAGACAAGCCAAGCTGGAGATGAGAGCTGGAAGCTTTGTAGAGAGAGCTACAGGCTTCTTCTTCCCTTCAGC